GTCAGATATGTCAGACAGAATTATTCCAGATAAGTGAGAAGTTAGGTTGTTAGTAAAGATAATGTCGATGAGTGAGCAAGAAGAAGTTGAGATGCGAGTAGAGGAGGTTATAAGAGGTAAGAAGTTGTATGATGATAGTAGGTTAGAGAAGTCAGCAACGACGTTGTCACTGTTGAGTTTATTGAGGTCAAGGTTAAAGTCGCCAATTAAATAGCTCTTTATGTGTGGCTTGAATGTGGGTAAAATAAGTTCGAGCTTTTGGATTAAGATATTAGGGTCAGTGTTGGGGGGTCTATATACTGCTAAAATATTTACGTGTGTGTTGTTTAATTTTAAATTGACACCAAAAAGGTCAATAACGGTGTCGTTCAGAAGCAAATTGTTTATCATAGAAAATTCAATGCCTGATCTGATGATGATTCCGACTCCACCACCTATTCTTTTTAAAAACAAAATTGTAATCATTCATACGAACTAGTTTAGCGGTTTCGTCATTCAGCCATGTCTCTGAAATAATATATATATATATATATATTTATATAAATATATATATATATATATATATATATATATATATATATATTGGGTTTAGAATATCATAAATACAATTATTTATAAAGATCACTGCGTTTTCTCAATTTTTCTAACGTGACTTTTATCATAGAAAATGCAGTAATCTTTATAAATAATTGTATTTATATATATTTATAAATATAAATATATATATATATATATATATATATTTGCTGAACACATTCAGTGTAGCGGAACGCAATATAAATAATTATATTTTCAAATATTTATTTATTTTCCTATACTTGAAATTATACAAATGCAGAATAGAGTAGAACTATACATAAACCTGAACAGAAAATAAGAGAGATAATGTTTTTGAACCGGATGAATGTTAAGTCGGAGAGTTGTTTTGGACGAAAGAATTATGAAAATTATGACTCAACGCAAATTATTTTTCCGATTGTTCACAACATGTTCAAGCCACAATATAAAAAAAATGGCAATATTTTTTTGATGTTTCATTTCAATGAATGAAGTTTCTTAATTTTTTAAAAACATCCATCCATCAAGAAATATAAAGAATTAAAGTAGAGGCAGATGATTGAGAAGCTTGCCATGTGGCATGCCTTCACGTCTCCATTCTTTTTCTACTTTTTTGCTTTCGCTGAAGTTTTTTCAACTTTATTTCAAGCTTGCTTTTCGGTGTTTTATTTGAGAAGTGCAAAGTTAGGACTTGAATAGATGCTGGCTGCTGCGCGCCATTTGAGCGTGAATATCATCGATGTGTTGTTTATTGCCGGCCATGCAAAGGTTCGCGTTCATTTCAAGTTTCTTTGTGACAGCAGCTTTTTCTGTTGTCAGGTTGTCATTTGTATTTTGTACTTATGATGTGTCAGTTTTAAATTAATTGACATTTTTGATTGCAAGAAATAACATCTAGTCACGAAAAACACTTTTTATGCTAAACTTTTTTCTACAAGACTTATTGTTTTTTGAAAAATCACACAAAAAATGAGGAGGAAACATTCTAATTCAAACTCACTTTAAATGTGATTAAAATTGAAATTTATATTGCCAATATGGGCGGCGCAATGAATTACAACTTTTTATTTCACTGGAGCATATTAGAAAATTGTGATTTATTGGTTGGTTATTGACTCTTTCATATAATTTATTTCAGTGGTTTCATTTCAAGCTCAAAACATATTTTCAAATGTTTGAAATTCACTCAAATATATCTAGTATTCTTTTGTTCTGCTTTTATAGAATCACTCACACGCAAATTAATTTCAATAATGGGCCCAAGTAGCTTATAGAAATATAAAAATACAACTAAAATTTATTGAAATCGTTATGCTGATAGATGCAAGTTTGTTAAAATTCTTTAAAAATTTCATAATTTGAAACTTTATTGTTAATTTTTTTCTGTTTGTGTTACATTTTCAAGAAATCAATTTTTTTAATTATCAAATAATTTGATGATTATCAAATTGTTTCATAATTTTATAACTATTTCAGAGTGCTAAACAAGTTATTAATTATTAATCAATTAAAATGTCAATTTTTATAATGTTTATAGTGTACATGGAAACCTTTAAAGAAAATTAAATAATGAGTTTCGATGATTCAACTTTCGTTTCAAACAGTCAAATCAATTGAAACTTTCATCTCTTCAGCAATTCAACAGCAATATCTTTACGTAAATGACTAACCACTTTTCAGTAAAGACATTTTCATTTCAAATTTGTAAATAAATGAGACTCAATTGAGATATCAATACAATGTCAACTGACTTGTATTTCCAAAATATGACGCTACTTATATCAAGCCCGACGATCATTTCAGCCAACAACACGGAGGCATTTGACACCAGCCAGAAGAACGCGACGTGCAATCCCAACGAACTGGAAACATATTTGAGTTTCCTAATGCCCTGGTACATCGAATCCATCTACGGCCTCTTCTACTTGCTGATGGTTCTGGTGGCCGCCGGTGGCAACTTCATCGTCATCTGGATCGTGGTCGGCCACAAACGCATGCGGACCGTCACCAACTACTTCCTGGTCAACCTGGCCATCTCAGACGCTCTCATCACCATCTTCAACACCATGTTCAACTTCATCTATATGGCCCGCAGCCACTGGCCGTTTGGAAGCTACTACTGCAAGTTCACGCACTTCATCGTCCCATGCACCATCTCCTCCAGTGTCTTCACCTTCATCGCCATTGCTTTCGACAGGTTTCTATGTTTAATTTTTGAGTCTTTAACTATTTTAAAAATATTTTTTCAAATAAATTATTAAAAGTTTTTTCTTATAAATTATTGCGCTTGCACCAAAGCATGCAATATTTAACTTTTCAGTTTACTCACACGATTCATTAAAACTTGAATAAACTGGTTTTTGAATGGAATTTGTAAGAAACAATTTGAAAATTATTCAGCAAAATTAAAAAAAATTATATCGCAACTGTCAAAAGTGCAAATTGGAAGTGCAGTTAAAATCATGCAAGTCAAATTTGCTTGTTTGTAAATTTTTGTTAATTATTACTACTTTTGGAAAATAGCCCAAATCATTCTGTAAATTCATTTTTATCATTCAACTATCGTTATTGCAAATGAAGCGATTCAACATTTTTATAAAATTTTGTAGTTTTTGACAATCAATTTGACCGAAATTGATTCAAGTTCAGGTTCAACAAAAATTCAATCAAAGTTACCAATGTATTTTAATATTTTGCAATCAAAACTTATTTTGAGATTTTAAAACAACCATCCAAGTCAAATTTATGCAAGAAAATTTTCAAAAATTGATTAAAAATTACATATTTTGTAGCTTAATTTACTTATTCTGATTTCAAAATTAAAATAAATTTAATTTGAATAAATGAACACGTTCATAAAAAGTGAAAAACTAATCAAACTGAATGCAGGCTACATTCCAAACACGATTTCGCGTGCGATAGAAGCTGAGCGTGGTTGGTTTTTAGGAGCAGTTACATAATAATGAGATGAACATGAACAAATGTTGGTAGCGTTTTAGCATAGAGAAACGCAATCGAACTCACATGGGCACGATAATGCAGACGCACGTGCAATTAATCACCATCAGATACTTCATTATACTGCACCCGATGAAGCCTCGCTTGAGCGCTCGCACAGTCCTGGCTGTCATCTTTGGCATCTGGTTGGCCTCCTTCGCCATCGCATTCCCGAACCTCATCTACGCTCAAATATTCCCATTCCGGTGTGAAAATGACAGGACCGTCTGCTATCTGCACTGGGACGACGACGACCTCATTAACGACGACACGGATTTCAGGTTCGATATCCGATTTCATATTTCAATGCCATCATCACAACAAAAATACACTGCAGACTGTGAGCTACTAAGAGTAAAACACTATTAAAACTTGTTAAGAACATTTGAAAAACTGTTTGTACTTGGAAAACTAACGCTTGTGAATGCTAGAAACGATCGTCAAATTAAAACCAGATACAACATGGTCTTGTTTGTGGTCACCTACATCCTACCTCTTCTCATCCTCTGTCTGACGTACATGAGGGTGGCCGTGGAACTCTGGAGTGGTCAGCCCGTTGGGGAGTGGACAGAAAAATTGGCTGACTCCATGAGGATGAAGAAAAGAGTAATGTCGTTCATGTGTTTTTTTTGATTTTCACCGTTTTAAGTCATCGTTCAAATGAAAAAATTCTGTTTTTAAGTTTTTTTAATTTATAATTTTTTGTCCAGTAAAATGAAAATCAACTTAAAATACTAAAAGACAACTATTGAGAAAAAACTCTATTGTTAAAAAGGATTGCAATGAGCGTTGGGTATAAATGGAAATTGTTTCACAGTATGACGTTTGTTTGGTTTGCCACTAAACTTTCAAAACAGGATTAAAAAACCATTGGTGGAAAACTATCGAAACGAAATTGGCAAATTTAACTGCGGACTTGTTTTTTGTAAAAGTTGTATCATTTTAAATACTCAAATTTAAATTCATATTAAAATTAATTTTAAACAATTCTTTCGTGCTTCACTAGCGATTTATGCCATTTGAACAACTCCATAAAATATATCCAATTATGAAAAAGTATTTTCAATTTAAAGTCCTTATTGTTTTCGTGATAATGTTTTTTTTTGAGGTGATTTGATCTTGTTTTTTTGAAAAAAGAAATTTGTTTTTCTTCAACATTTTTTAAACAGCACCATCACGATAGTATATTTGCTTCTTATCAACCCAACAGTCTATCTTTTTCAATTCAATATTGTGTATATCAACATTTTTTGTTCAGTTCATTGTTATTTTCCACTGACCAGCTGCTCTTTAAACGCTGTTATAAGTGCTTCATTAACTGAAGTCATCACTTATGAAAAACAAACAAATAAACAAGCAAGCAAGCAAGCAGCTTAGCAAGCAAGCAAACAACTTAGCAAGCAAACAACTAAGCAAGCAAACAACAAAGCAAGCAAATAACTAAGCAAGCAACTAAGCAAGTAAGCAACTAAGCAAGTTAGCAAGCAAACATGAGAGATGCCTCTACCTTTTCAATTTTATAAAATCCTAGTCCATTCTTATCAAATTCACTGAGTTTTTTTTGTGTCAATGTTAAAAACACAATTTAAACCTCCATAGAAAAGAAACAACATGTAGAAACAAGTATAATGAAAAGGTTGTCGTTCATGTTTAGCTCTATTTTCCCAAAAATGATCCCAGTTGTGCCGCAAGAAAACATTGACATGATTAATATTGACGGATGTCAAACTCACACGTGACGACGTTGTTGCGTTGTTCATTTGGGAAGCTGTTCGGTCCAAACAAAATGTTTTCTAATCCCAATGGAACTTTGAAACAGGGAATCAATTTGTATATTATTTTAGACGATTCTTCGTCAACCACGCGAGGAGAAAAAATACTTTTTTTTTGAACTACAAAATAGTTAAAAATTTAATTAATTCAAATAATATATTGCAACTGCAGAAACTTTTCAAGACTAATTCATAGATGCAACAACCATCAGGTGGTGAAGATGATGGTGGCAGTCGTCTGCATATTCGGCTTGTGTTGGCTGCCACAGAACGTCTTCCTCATCATCAATGCCAAGCGCAAACAAATGGATCGCAAGCCGCACGAGATCCACATCTACCTCATCATCTACTGGATCGCCATGAGCAACTCCATGTACAACCCCATCATCTATTGCTGGATGAACGCCAAGTCAGCTAGCTGTTTTTGTCTCTCTGTCTAAGTGAATAAAAAATATCTAACCAATGATTTGGTAACGTTGAATGTTCACCAGTAATGTAGAATTCGAAAATTTTAAATATAAAATGAATGCGAAGATAGTTCGAAATTTAAGATTTTTAAATGGTACTTCTTTTCAGTTAATACTGAATGTTTTTATTGCATGCTAAATTTTTAACTACCTTAACAAAATCGATTGAGATGTTGGTTTAAACCTTCCAATCAAATGTCTTTTAAGAATTGTCTTAAAAAACTGTAAAAGCAAGTTATTCAGCAATAAATTTTTTCTTTTTCTTGCCCTGTGACCATTCCAAAGACGCGGTTGAACCTTCTGTTATCGTTATATATGCCAGGCTTCAATGAGGCCACCAAATGCCTCAGTTTTAACTGGATGAACATTTTAATTGCCGACGAGAAGCGGACAGTGGTAATATATTCAAATCAAATCAAGTTTTATCTTCAGAAATTTCGTCACGCCCCTCTCTCTCTCTCTTTCTCTCCCTCTCTCTCTCTCTCTCTTTTCAATTGCTTTCTTGATTTAATTAACTCAATTTTTGTTGATGCTATCTCAATTATTCTTCATCATCGGGGATTTGTATTAAAAAATAATTTTCAAATATCTTATGAACGTTGAAACATTTTCTCAATTAAGGTCCTATGGTTCCCGTTCTGCTTTTTTATGTTTTTGAAATGAAATACATTCTTCTGCATGGAATCTTTATTTAAAAAGTTTTTAAAAAAAAATGCGCTTCTTTAATGTGAAACTTGAGAAAGCAAACTTTATTATGAGATGCATGAAAGGTGATGTGCACGTTTTTGCCTTTGCTTAGGTTGAAAGTTATTCAAGTTTTTTTTTTAAATCTTCATAAAGTCCAGAAATGTAAATTTAACGTTTAATTCTTATTAATTGTGAAAAATAAAAAATAAATTTAAAATTACGACAATAAAATTAATTTTCAAATAATTATTCAACATAAGCAGAAGTAATCGAATGCGCTTGCTTACGGCAAAAAATTACGAGCCATCATGTACCGTTGTGCACATGCACAAGTACAAGTACAATGCATGCTTGACGACCAAGCTCCAAGCTGTAATTAAAGCAATACATTACAATACGAATTAAAAATAAAAATTAATCTCGTGCACTTGGCTAAAGTATCCGAGATAGCTGCCTACTCGGCTTAATAAGCATTTACATATCTACAATTCTTTAAATTTCTTTCATGTAAAACAGTAAATTGGAGATAGTGATGAAATATCATATGTTGAATTATTGGACAGAGTTTCATTATTTATCAACGCTCTCTTCAAAATATTGTTATAACCACTGAAATGATCTAATTGCGCAATATTATTTATTATCTGATTAATAAAACCTTTAAAAATGTATTTACAAAGCAGTAAAATTTGTAATTGTTAGATTTCGAAATGGATTCCAGCGAGCCTTGCGATGGCTGCCGTGCGTGGGTTTGGACAGATTGAATCACGCGGACATCACAAACTCAACGAAGAGGAACCTCGGGGCGAGATCACCTCACAAATTTTGCACAAAGTTCAAATCGCACGTTCACAATGACAACCATCCGACATTTCTGCGCTACATCGACCATGAACAACAGTGAAGAAGTTCATGCTACGAACCGCCGACCGCAAATGCTTACTCCGAGCAAATCAACCTGCTGGTGTCAGTATCAACAATTATTAAACAACATTTGTAACTTATTATTTCATATTTATTTTTATTAATTAACAAACAAACTAACAAATAATTGTCTAATGAACATGTATATTCTTAAAGATAGTTGAAGATTGAAACGAGGCTTGAATATTTTATACATATAAATTTTCTTTTTAATTTCGTTGAAATGAAAACATTAATTTATGAAATTAAGTGTGAAATTTCATATAAATGTAATGAATATACCACTTGTTTGATAAAAAATACAATTTTTGTTTACAATTGATGCCGGAGCAACTCAATGTCAGGTCGGTCACATTTTTGCACCAATCCACATGCAGGGAACAGGTATGCACTGTGTTAATGTCACCGGATTTGTGACATAAAAAGTTAATTTTGATTTTGATTGTGAGTATCAAACGAACAGTCGGCACCCATGTGTTCGTCAAAGCGGAATAATTAATGCAAAATGGTGATTGAAAATATGAGATGGCAGGTTCCGTCAAGAGACAAGAGACACGTTATAATTATACCTGAAAGATACTTATTTTTAAAGTTGAAATATTTCTAGGCGAGCACTAGGAAATAAACAAAACTTAAATGTAAAAACTCATTGTAACATGCAATCATTCGGATAGGTACATTACTACATTGTCGACATCCTCGACAAAATTTTATCTAAAAATCACAATAATAACCATTCAAATGATTTCTCCCCCAATGATTTTATGACATTTTTTATCAATAAAATCAATAATATTCGTAGCACGACTATAGAAAATACTTACAAACCAATCCAGTTTGCGTATGTCTCTAGGGTCGTCTTACCTGAAGCAATTGTTAATCTTTCCAATTTTCAAATGTGCACGCCAGATGAATTGCGTAAAATAGTTTGTGACTCCCCTGGCAGTTCTTGTTCTCTTGATCTGATTCCAACATACATATTTAAAAAATTTATAGATCTTTTTTTGCCATTTTTGACATTTTTTGTCAACCAATGTTTATCAACTAGCAGTTTTACCAACCCTTTGAAACATGCTATTGTAACCCCACTTCTAAAAAAATCAAATTTGGACGACAACGTTTTATCAAATTACCGTCCTATCTCTAATCTTTCATTCATTTCTAAAGTCATTGAACGAGTTGTTATCAAACAATTGTTACAGCATTTAAACAAAAACAATTTGTTGCCAAAGAACCAATCCGGCTATCGTCAATATTTTTCCACAGAAACTGTACTCATTGATATTTTCTCCCAGCTGTTCTTTCAGTTGACAGTCAATACGTTTCTTTTTTGGCATTACTTGATATGAGTGCTGCATTTGATTGTGTCGATCATACTCGTCTCATGTATAAACTCTCCACAAATTTTTTTCTCTCTGATTCAGTCTTATCGTGGTTCGCTTCCTATCTTTTATGTATGTCACCCAGCAGGTTTCTTACAACAACACCCTCTCTGACATAAACAAACTATCGTTTGGTGTCCCCTAGGGATCTGTGTTGGGACTTCTGTTGTTTCTTATGTACACTGCTGATGTTTTTGATATCATTCAAAAATATGAGTTCAGCTCCCACGCCTTTGCTGATGATATTCACTTATTGGTTTTTTGTCCTGTTGATTCGATTGATACTTCTCTGAATGAACTGACTGATTGTCTCATCGAAATTGGATCTTGGATGAGTATGAATCAGTTAAAGTTAAATCAATCTAAAACACAAATATTACCGGTTGGGTCTTGGCAGCAGCTGTCGAAGGTCAAAATTTCATCGATCAGTGTCGGCAATGACATCATTGAATTTTCCACATCTGTCCGTAGTCTTAGAGTTATTATTGACTCGAACTTAAAGATGGATTTACATATTAATAATTTAGTGAGGGTCTGCTCCAACTAACCTTTATTACGCAATGTCAAAAAATCACTAAACACGTCTGTTCTTCAAAGCTTGGTTTCCTCTTTCGTCTTTTCCAGACTAGACTACTGCAATGGCCTTTTTTATGGTGTCACCAAAAGGTCTTTTTCAAAGCTTCAGTCAATACAGAATCGTGCGGCCAAGCTGGTTTTGGGTGGTTCGTGGTTCGATCATGTTACGCCTATTTTGAATAGGTTGCACTGGTTGAGGGTTGAAAAACGTGTTTCCTTCAAGTTGGCAGTTTTGATGTTTAAATGTGTCAATAATACAGCACCTCCCTATCTCATCGATAGATTGGAATCATACAAATCTCATTTTTCAAAATATTCCTTCCGATCAACCAAGCGCAATTTATTTTTTATCCCGACCACAAAGTTGGTGACGGGTTCCCGCAACTTTGCGGTTCTTGGCCCGATTGTTTGGAATGGTTTACCTCCATACTTACGTGACCCTAACCTATCATATTTACAATTTCGAAGTTAACTTAAAACTTATTTATTTGCACAATGAATGTCCGTCTTATTTATCTATGCTTTTGAGATTCAACAATAAAAAAGCGCTGTATATAAATTTCCGTAATAATAATAATAATTGTACTTTAACGGTGCTCATAATTCAAAGAGACTTGCCCGTGTTAATGAAATCACTCTCTGATTTCGTGACTGTTATTGACAGAATATCACAGTCGTGTCATAAATTTACTATGGCGAGAGTTTTTTTGTTTTGAAAAATATAATTTTTTTTGACAAATATTGCCACAGAAATTGAATTTTCCTAGCTTAGTGAATAATCCATCAATTGTTTTATAACATGAATTTAATTGAACAATTGTTTTCTAGTAAGAACCATTATTAATTTAAATGATTCATTTTCATAAAAAAAAAAACTCAAAACACTCTATGATTATAATATATACAGAATCATCAACAGTTTCTTCAATGTATGGTATTCTCATATCCTACTTGGGTCCCACCTGGATCCTCCTACATCCCACCTGGATCCTCCTACATCCCACCTGGATCCACCTTGACATTTTTGTAACTTTTTTATTTTTCCACCAATAATTTTTTGGCTTAATAAAAAACAAATTCATAATAGATTTCATAAGGTTTACACTTTTTCAATTCGTTAATTCATACGCTTGTCAATTTTCAAAGAACCAACTTGAGCAAATTTTGTGAACATTGTGAGAAGGGATGCTGGAAGATGTTGATGAGTGCTAATGAGTGCAGACGCATTCACAATGCATTCTTCAGTCATAATTGGCTCATTAGTCGCATGGCACGCTTCTCAATAGCTGCCTTACGACACTCATTTTGTTTTTAAAAACATTATTTTCTGAAAAAAAAACTTAAAATATTTTGACAGCATACAAATCCTGATGGTGGAAAGACCTAGTGCCTTACGACACTCATTTTGTTTTTAAAAACATTATTTTCTGAAAAAAAAACTTAAAATATTTTGACAGCATACGAATCCTGATGGTGGAAAGACCTAGGTTCAAATGGAAACATATCCACGCTTATTCATGCTAATTCACATATGCCGTGTGTATTTGTGAGTGAGTGACTGTGTGTATGTGTGTGTGTGTATGCGTGCGTGTATGCGTGCGTGTGTGTATGCGTGTGTGCGTGTTGTCCTGTTAATAACATCAAGAAATAATTTATGAAGATTTATAAAAAAGTTCAATGATGAATGGAAGTGTTGGAAGAAAACAAAACAACAAACATCCTACCGGAAACCTGCTGAGCGAGCGTTAAATAATGTTTGAAATACTCGTTAGAGGCTAATAAATCTACGAACTGCATATCAACGTTCAAAAATGTGTGTGTGTGTGTGTGACGTTTTTTTTGTGGATACCACGTTAAGCATCATTCATCGTACATCAGCAGGGGCATCAGAGCTTATCATTTTGACGTACGCCTTCATTGGTCAGGCCTCTGAATAGTTTTTGTGTCAATGAATATGTGTTAATCAATATTATTGCCACGTACTTCTACACACTTTAATGTTCAAGTTTGTATGATAATAGTCTGAGATGTGTGATAGTTATGTAAAATAAAATTTATATTAGATTTGGGTGAGTCTGCGAAAAGAAGCTTATGAGCTGTGGACTATTTGATAGTTTTGTCTTGTTTGCAATATTCAAAAATATCAGAGAGAAGATTTATAAACTAGTTGAACATTTTGATTTCATGTGATAATATCATTGCCTGCTGCAATGCCTCCATGTATGATGTCAAGCCAATGAATGCTAACACTTTTGAGTCAATGATTTAAATTTGAAAATTTTAAGTGTTAAAGATCGGGTTTTGTCATGGATATAAAGGATATGGCATGATAATTATTACCTGATCATTATTATTTGTTAGTTGTATGGAATTAAACGCGTAAACCTTAAACATTTTTTTGTAGTAGGTTGACATTTTATTGATTTTTTACGATAAAACGTCTTACTATCATATTATTGTTTAACTTTAGACAAAATTTTATTTAAATGTCAATAGATTGACAAAAAAACAATTAGGACGATGATAAATATGAAAGATATTTTCTATCAATTTTTTGTTTAATAAGCTCCGACAGATATTGAAAATGAATGAGTTTAGCGTACGTACGTACATGCAGACAGAGGGTATTCACAAATTTTCATCGCAAACAACAGCAACCGATACCGATATGCATCGCGTTCAATAAGATCTGATGAATGTTACCGCAAGAAAATTTAAAACCATGGTGGTCATCACTATGGTGATGGTGATGATGATGGCTAAAATAGTGATGGTTATGATGATGATGATGGTTATGATGGTAATGGTTATGATGGTGATGGTTATGATAATGATGATGGTTATGATGGGGATGATGGTTATGATG